TTAGCTGGCCTTTCTTTTTTAGACGTTCAATGTATTTGATGTTTTTGTCAATTCTTGCTTCCTTATCTTTTTTTTTATTAATGTTTTTTTTGTTTCTTTTACCTTTGGGATTCGCTTTTCGTCGGGTTCTGTTTTTTATTGGCTCAGCTTCTTTTTGTTTTTATATTTTATTATTTGACCCATCTTTAATATTAATCCATGTTTTTTTTCCGTAACCAATTCTTGATTTTTTTTTTCGAAAATCAAATTTTGTTTGTATGCTTTTTTCCCTTTCATTCCTGTCATTTGTTTTTTTCGTTATTGTTCTTCGTGGATTTTATATCCATTTTTCTATTTTTTATTTTTTCGTTTAAATGGATTTTTTTATCGTTTGGGGGCAATCATCTCGCCTTTTATCGTTTTCTTCTGTTGTTCGCTTTATTTAGTCGCGGGTTTTTCATCAAATATTAATGACATCATTGCCTTATCTTTAAATTTTATGAATTTTATATTTATTTGTTTCTTAGAATTAATCTTTTTTTAATTTGTGATCGTTTTTCACTTTTCGGATTGTCGTTTAAGCTTATCTTTTGTTCCCCCCCCCCTCCTCCCCAAATGGCCTGGAACCAGGCTAATCCGAATTTACCCCAATGGACGTGGTTATGGCAGTTTGACCCCGTCTACATATTTTTTAATTGGTGAGTATTCGAATGCTGGTGGATTTTTATTTTCTCATAAACACATTTTGCCTTTTTTTTTAATTTCACTGCGTATTGGTGTTAGGATTACCGTTTCCGTTGGCATGGGAGTGTGTGGAGGGATTTGCTTTCTTTTTTAATTTAGCACCTTCCCTGTCCTCTCCGTTAAGGGGATCAATGCTATGTTGTTGCTCGTTCATTTGTGTGCTCTGGGTTTATTTATACCTGTCGAAATTATATTTGTGATAGAAAAACATCACTTGTAAAATTAATATAGCACTAGATAAACTTTCTTGTTATGTATTATTACATATTCACAGGAATTGAAAGACAAATTGTTGATTTATTTTGTCTGTTACCTTCTGTGGTGGTTCCTTTAGTATTTCTTCGGAAATTTTTTTAGAAATTCATGAGTTTTTTTCGAGTGCAAGAAAAAACATCAACACAGACATTATTTACCGATATAAGAGTATTTCCGAACACAATTATTTTCATTTTTTTCTCATAAATGCAGCTTTTCTTAATGTACTTTGGTCAAATATGAAATGCAAAGTCTATTCTCTTTTTTCTTATATATATATTAGTAGCGTTTTCAGGCACCTAATAAATTATAATGATCCATACTGACTTTAACACCGACCAAAAAACTTCGCTTAAAGTAGGGTCTCTATTTTTTGTTGACGGGATTCAGAGAATCTTATCAGCTGAAGATATAGAAAAATATTTTTCCAAATTTGGTGATTTTGACTATTTTTTTCTCTGCCGGGATAAAGAAGGTAGATCATTTGGGTATGGTTGGCTTCATTTCCATGCTCCTGTTCAAAGTTTGGCAGTAGAACATATCGTGCGGAATGTTATTCTAAGAATTCAAAAAGCGTCGGGACTCCAAGAAACAGATACTCTACTAAATCAAATAAAAAAATCTAAAGAAATTTCTAATAAT